GATTTCTGAGTGGAAGTTTTGTTCAGTCCTACACTGTACCACCCGCTGCAGAACGATCCCAGGTTTTAAACATTCTGGACGTGGGCACCCACACCTCTTTAGTCCTGCATTGCGTGTGATATGGGGGCCGCTCTGGGGTGGCAGGCCCTGCTCCCAGGGTGGTCTAAAGCAGGTGGTAAAGGGACCAGGGGGCCGCAGTCCCCCATGGCTCCACAGGCTGAGGCCTTTCTCAGGCTGGGCCTCCTGGGCAGGGCACTGAAGGCCCTTCTGGGGACACCGTGGGGAAGAGCAATGTCACATGCTGAGGCTCACGCAGGAAGCCACACCTACCTGAGAAAAGGCGGCTTCGCAGTCCCGTTGGCATCGTTCTGTGAGAAAGATAAAGAGGTTTATGGAGGGCTTGGAATTGGTCTTTTAAAAATTATTTTAGGTAGAGATGGGGACTTGCTATGTTGCCCAGGCTGGTCTCGAACTCCTGAGCTCAAGTGATCCTTCCACCTTGGCCTCCTAATGTGCTGGGACTACAGGTGTGAGCCACTGCGACTGGCCTGTGTTGGAGATTTTTAATAAGACTGAAGGTAAAGACATCTAAAACATAAGGGATGTTTAAAAGTGCCCTGTCCCAATCTGTGAGACTGTCTAAATTCACTTGGAAGAATAAGGCAAGAACAGAAAACGCTCTGAAAGGCAGTAACGGCCCTCCCAGGTGTCAGAGCGTGGACAGAGCATGGCACTGCCTGCGCGGGTCACCCGTGATGTGGAGCCGTCTGCTAAACTCGGAAACAGTTTCACAGAATGAAGCTTGAGCAACAGCGACATCACAGAAGAAAACATTTGTGCCAAACAGATCCTCTCTGACTCGGGGGAAGCAGATCCTGCAGGTCTTCAGCCACGGTCTTTTGAGCGCAGAATCTAGTGACTGGGGTGTGCTTTTTGGGAGCTGACTCCTGAAGCATGACACAAAGAAACAGGAAGTAAAAATAAAACCCCACTGGCTTTGGGGCTGCTACAGCCAGGGGTCTTGTAGGAAGCTGAAAAACTGAGGAAAAGAGAAGGTGGAACCAAAGTTCAAAGGTGTCTGCAGGGCTCGGGGTCGGGAGCACCTCCTTCCAGCACCTGCCACCCAGTGCGGGCCAGGGCCAGGTGTGTGCCGCCTTCTTTCCCTCACTCCAAAAAGCCTGCAGGGTTTAACAATCTTTCCAGCCCGCACACAGGGAGCAGAGTCAGGCAGCCGCCCAGGAGAGGGCAGTGTAACACCGTGTAACCAGCCTGCGGCCCGGCCACACCCTCCTGACAGCCCCAGGAAGCGTCCCGGCACCCCCGGGGGGTCTCAGGGAGCATGCACACCTCTCGAGATTGACTTAGGGAGGCCCTCTCGTGCCCGATGCCGGCACTGGTGTGCAGGCCATTCCTGGAGGTGGAGGCCCAGGCCAGGCCTCCTCTGCGATGGCCTCCACTGCTTGCTGGGTGTACAGACTGTGGACACAGAAGGCAGGCTGGAAGCCCCAGGGCTGTGGCCTGAGACCTACCCCACCCTCCCTAGACCCCCTGGGCAGGGCAGCTGGGGCCAATTCAATGTCTGCTTTTCATCACTGGAGCACAAAGCCACTGCCCTGCCTCGCACATCCTACAGGGCTTTAAATGGCTGCGAAAGTGACTTCTCCCTGCAGGGCACGCAGCGCTTCCCTAGCAGGCCTCAGAGGAAGCCCTTGCCCGTGTGAGGTTCGTGCTCTGTGATGATGATGGGCTCATTTATAACTTAAATGCACCAGGGCGCCTGTCGCGTGTGCTCACGGTGCCCGCATTCGTGGACCCTGTTGCAGAAAGGCCTCCTGTGACCCAGAGGGCAGGCGGCCGGGCCGTGGCTGGGCCTGACTCCACTCTGCCCTCCCCTCCCACTGGAGTCCTCTGACTCCTTGGGGCCAACACCGACTCCCTGTGCAGCTTACGCTAGGGGAAGGCGCTTCCCAAACTGGAAACCAGAAACCCCCTCCGCCCACCCCACGCACACCCCGGAGCTTGTTCAGAGCCTCCTGGGCCCCCACGGGACTTTAAAGGCGTCCCAGTGAATCCTCACAAGGAACGCAGCAAGAAGCACCAACTCCTGCCAGGAGGACTGAGGAGGAAAAAGAACACTTCAAATGACAGCTTGAAGCCACTCAGTGTCAGGCCAACCCCGTGCACACACGCCTGAGGCCCGGCAATCCTGCTCCCCGTAGGAACAGGTAGGGCACACACCCACGGGCACTGAGACACTCGGGCAGCGCTGGGGAAACAGCCCAGACTGGAAACACCAGACACGCATCAATGAGAGAGCCAGAACCAGCTTCTGTGCAGACAGCGGGTCACCGCACAGTGCTGACCCCAAGCAGGGCTTGGGGGTCTGGTGTTGGAGAAGGGATGGTCACGGAGGTGGGCCACACTGGGTGATCCTGGGAGCTGGGAACATCCTGCTGGGTACACGGAGTCGCATCATGAAAATTCATCGTGTGCTTTTCTGTCTGTGGTATTCTGTAATACGATGTTCATTTTAAAATACGTATTGGACCGGGGACAGTGGTTCACACCTGTAATCCCAGCACTTTGGGAGGCTGAGGTGGGTGGGTCACCTGAGGTCGAGAGTTCGAGACCAGCCTGACCAACATGGAGAAACCCTGTCTCTACTAAAAATACAAAATTAGCCGGGCGTGGTGGCTCATGCCTGTAGTCCCAGCTACTCAGGAGGCTAAGGCAGGAGAATCACTTGAACTGGGAGGCAGAGGTTGTGATGAGCTGAGATTACGCCACTGCACTCCAGCCTGGGCAAAAGCGAGATTCCGTCTCAAAAAAAAAAACCAAAAAACAAAAAAACAAAAAAAACAAAACAAAAAAACCCCTAACAAAACAACAAAACAAACAAAATCAACAACAAAAACATAGTGGGCGTGTTCAGGCAGATTTCCTGTTTAACGTCTACATGTTCCTTAGGGGACCTGAAACCTCAGCACTCCCTTTGGATACAGGGCTGGCAGGAGCCTCTCTGCCTCCCTCTCCAGGGCAAAGCAGATCCACAAGGGCAGGGGCTTGGCACATACGGTGCCTCTTATCTGGTGGCCTCCAAGGGTCTCACAGCAGCCTCCCTGTGTCCGTCTCAACCGCACACACTCAGCCCACTGTGGTGGTCACTGAAGCTAGACCTGCCCTCCTCCCTGTTCCCTTTCCTTGCAGTGGGGGACACCTCCAAGCCAGAGGCAGCACTGCCACTGGCACCCAGGGCCCCGCGGGTACTGCCTGCTGCATGTCCTGTGTCCCCAGCAAGACAGGAGACCACGAAGGCCACGCAACCAGTGGCCACTACGAGAGTGGGTTGGGCTGCAACTGGAGACTGTACAGCGAGGCCACCAAGTGGCTGACTGCGGCCAGGGTGGACACATCTTGTGATCCCCCATCTCCCCCAGGAATCCAAAACCTGTGTGTGGACACTGGCTGACCGCCCGTCACCCGATGCCTGTTCCACACCCCCTTCCTGACTGTAGGGTGCTTCCAGGGTGCCCACCACATAGCCATGTGCTCAAGGTGGGGGACTAGTTGATCCAGCTTTCAGAGGGGTCTCGGGCAGCTCGGAGCACCCAGAACCACTTTTTCCTCGGGCCGCAGCAGAGAATGCTGGTGTCCCTCACTGCAGAGGGCAGGACAGAGTGATCTGGGCCAGCGCAGGGTGGCCTTGCTCCTAAGCAGAGCGGAATATCCCTAAGGAACATTTCCAAGCCAGCTGGAGGCCAGTTACTTGCAACAAAAGTGGCCCTCGCTGACACCTGTCTTCAGTGTGAACACCCATTCCAGTCCTCGTCTGTGGTCCGCACTTGTCTTCCAGTTCACTTTGCATCTAGTTCAACCCCTTTATTCTCAAAATGGGGACGCTGAGGCCCCGACAGGGAAAAGCCAACTGCTCTGAGTCACCAGGATCTTTTTGGAAGCCGAGGTGCCCATGTTGTGATGCAAACGAAGATGCGTGCAGGCCTGCACACGGGCACCGGCTGCTCTCAGGAGGGGCTCACGCCATGGTGAACGCGCGCTGTGAAATGCAGGCTTGCTTTTCAAAAGGAGAGCTGTGTGCTTATTTAAAAATATATTGGGAGGGAGCCAGTATTTCCTCACTTGGAACTGCAGTAGAAAATACGTAAATTAAAAAAACTTAGGCCGGGCACAGTGGCTCACGCCTGTAATCCCAGCACCTTGGGACGCCAAGGCAGGACGACTGCCTGAGGTCAGGAGTTCAAGACCAGCCTGGGCAACATAACGAGATCTTATCATTATTAATAAAAACTGAAAGAGATACCACGTGACCTGTGGCAAACCCCCAGCTCGAGTCCTAGCAAGTCTCCCCTGCCCCCTGGGGAGAAGTCCCTGCTCTCAGATCGTCCAAGACACGCCGTCATCAGGACAGCCATGGGGCTTCCCAGGTGAGTGGGCTGCTCTGTGGAGGATGGCCCCCTGTACACCTAAGCCTAAGTTCCAGTGGTAAACGACCTGTAACTCACAGTGGCTGGATGTAAAACTACATAGAGAAACGCTTTTAAAAAGCATGAGGATGCTTTCCCAGCTCTCATGGATCCCAGTGTTTGGCCTGGGCTGTAACACAGCTTCCCCCACATCATCAGCTGGTTCAGGCATTTTGGTTAGGGGAAGGCTAAGTTAATCCAGGTGGACATACAAACGCTGAGACGCCTAATTCCAGGACTGTGTTCCCGGCCCTCAAGGGTGCCAGAGTCCCCCGGGGCTTTCAGGTGGCAAAGGCTGCCATTTTTTTTTTTTTTTTTGAGACAGGTCTTGCTCTGTCACCCAGGCTGCAGTGCAGTGGCACAATCACAGCTCACTGCAGCCTCGACCTCCTGGGCTCAATCAGTTCTCTCGCCTCAGGCTCCTGAGCAGACTCTACAGGTATAGGCCACCATGCCTGGCTTTTTAGTTAATTTTCTTTCTTTTTTTTTGTTTTTGAGATGGAGTTTTCCTCTTGCTGCCCAGGCTGGAGTCCAGTGGCGTGATCTCAGCTCACTGCAACCTCTGCCTCCTGGGTTGAAGTGATTCTCCTGCCTCAGCCTCCTGAGTAGCTGGGATTATAGGCGCCCATCACCACGCCCAGCTAATTTTTTTTGTATTTTTAGTAGACAGGGTTTCACCATGTTGGCCAGGCTGGTCGCAAACTCTTGATATCGGATGATCCACCTGCCTCGGCCTCCCAAAATTCTGGGATTTTTAGTTAATTTTCTATATAGACGAAGTCCCACTATGTTGCCCAGGCTGATCTTGAACTCCTTGGGGCAAATGATCCTCCCGCCTCAGCGTCCCAAAGTGCTGGGATTACAGATGTGAGCCGCCGTGCCCGGCAGGTGTAATCTTTTGAGCGTCAGCCATGGTACCTGCTTCTCGACCACCACGTTATGGATCAAGCTTCTTTATATATATATATATATACACACACACACACACACACATATATATACACAGAGAGAGAGAGAGAGAGAGAGAGAGAGATGGGTTCTCTGTCACCCGGGCTGGGCTTGAGTTCCTGGGCTCAAGTGATTCTACCACCTCAGCCTTCCAAGTAGCAGGGATCACAGGCGTGAGCCACTATGCCCAGCTAGAGCAAGTTTTTAAATGGAGCACTGTCCTGTTTTGTATGATCTATTCCTAACTGTCCAATGTGGCAGCCACTAGCTGTATATGGTGACTTAAACTAATTAAAATTTGCTGGGCACGGTGGCTCACACCTACAATCCCAGCACTTTGGGAGGCTGAGGCGGGAGGATCGCCTGAGATAAGGAGTTTGAGACCAGCCTGTTTAACATGGTGAAACCCCATCTCTACTAAAAATACAAAAATTAGCTGGCAGGCACCTGTAATCCCAGCTACTTGGAAAGCTGAGGCAGGAGAATCGCTTGAACCTGGGAAGTGGAGGTTGCCGTGAACCGAGATCACGCCACTGCACTCCAGCCTGGGGGACAGAGCAAGACTCCGTCTCATAAATGAATGAATGAATGTAAACCTCTAGTCCGTCCCTTTGTTGCACCGTCCGTTTTTCAAGCACTCCGCTTCCCTGTGTGCCCTGTGGCTGATGGACTGGCCAGGGAGCATTTATGTCTGCGCTGCTCGTGCCTGACACGGATGCTTGATCCATGCTGCCTGCAGGTGCGGGAGGCTGCAAGGCCAGGAGGCCCAGAACACACGGCCATTCCCCTGCTCTCCGCTCCTGCCCTTAGAGCAGCGCCGACGCGTCTGCAGGCTGTTTCCCACAGCTGTGCTCCCGGAACTCCTGACTGGGGTCAGTCCAGATGAAACGTCCCTTGTCTGACAGAAGGAGCGCTGTCCACGGAGGCTGGATGTGGCTGACAGTTGTGGTCCCTCCCCGCAATGCTTTTGCAGTCTGCACAGGATGTTAAAATAACAGCAGGCAGATGACCACGGCGTGTCTTATCGGGAAAGCGTACTGATGTGGAGGCCAAGAAGCTGCTGGCTGAGATTTCGGAATTGGGTTTCTAACCTGCCTTGGACAGCAGCTGCCATTCTTCTGTGCCTCCCTTTCTCCATTTCACGAGGCCCCGCGATCCCGCTACCTCCCGGGAGGTCCCAGCACAGGCACCGCTCAGGAAGCACCATGAGGTGCGAAGGGTGTGAAGGTACGAGAGACAGGAGGGCACCACGGGCCGGCGGCGCCATTCCCCTCGCAGCCCAGCCAGAAGCCAGACGGCAGTGTGGGGGCTCATCTTGCCTCTCAGCTGCTGCCTGACCCCAGCTCTCGAGCCCCCCTAGTCACTGCAATGCCTAGACCTTGTGTTTTTGCCGAAGCTCGTGCCTCAGAGCCTGGCTCCAATGCTTTCCTCCTAGAAGCCTCCCCTGATGCGTCCCAGGAACCCCGGCCTCTCCCCTTGTCCTCGCCCCATGCATCGAGCGCTCCCTGGACTCCACCCCTGGGTGGGTCTCATTCCTCTTTGTGTCCTGAGGGCCTGGCTCTAGGCCGCCCAGTAGAGGCCGGCTGGATGAGTGCTGTTGGGACGGTCTAATCTCTGTCTACAAAACCCCTCCCCAATAGCCATCCCCTCACTGCCATGTGACTGTGTTGACAGAAGTCTACTGGCCTCAGAAGTCTGCTGCCCAGGGAATCTCATCAGTGATAAACATGACCTCCCTGTGGGCGTCACCTCCACCCCTGTGCAGGACAGGCCTTCTCACTGATTTCAGTGATCATGAAGTTAACCCGCAGTCAGTCCTCAAACACGTGCAGAATCAATGACAACTGAAATCATCAGAATCTGCATAAGGAGGGCATTCTCATGAGGTATTTGGGGCTTTTGAATGTTCTTGGATGAAACCAGAAATGAAAGGCTGCTAAACTGAAAGCCTGAAAGCCTACTAGCTTTCGAGACAGAAAGGGGGCCGGAAGATGATGTGCATGTGCACGCGTGTGTGTGTGTGTCCGTGTGGTGGGAGCTGGAGGGAGGGTGGTCTGTGGAAGTGAGCTTTGGCAGGTACAGCCCATGGAGGCAGCCGGGGACAGGATGACCGGGAATCTCTCCCGTGGAGGGGACAGGCTGAAGCTCGCGGGTGTGAGCTGAGAATACCAGCTGAGGCGGGAAGGGTGGCAGTGGTGTCCACATGGGCCAGCCGCGCTGGTGGAGGCTACAGGGCACCAGGTCACCCCCTGTGGGCAGCCCCTGCCCAGCCCAGCCCTCCGGGTCAGGGCCCTCGGGGACAGTGGTGTGCTTAAAGCTCTGCTGCCCGAGGAAGTGGGAAGCCGGTAAGAGGCGCGCACCGTGCACAATCCTCAGATTGCTGGCAGCCTCCCGACACTAACAGGATGTCATGATCCTGCCAACGAAGAGGTTTAAGAATGAAGCCAGGTCACCTTTTCACTCCCCAGTGCTAAGTAAGGAAGAATCTGTCATTACTGAGAACACTGATACCTACAACCAGGCTTCTCCCATTTATCCAATTCCCTGCAGTGAGAATGGCGGCCACAGTGCTTTCTTCACCAGGCTTTATCCACACGATAAATACACTGACAATGGCACGTTTTCATTTTCTAACACTGGAGACTATCCAGGGTTGGCTAAAGTGTCAGTGTTCTCACTTACAATGCCAGAGCTGTGATTTTTGGGGGCAAGATTCTTTTACCTTAAAAGGCATTATCCAGCCTTAATAAAGCAGCAGGCTAGGCAAACATCAACAGCCACTAACATCACAAAAAGAGACAGACACGCACATGTGCCTCCTCACTGGTGAAATGCTCCAGCAAAACACAACAGGCAAACCAGCAAAACAGCAACAGACTCTGAGCAGGGCCTGAGGTCTAACTACCAATTTACAGAAACACAAGAGACACGGGGGAACGCAGAAAGGACGCCATCAGCAAAACCCAGATGGGGGACCCCTCCAGGACAAATGACTGGTTCTTCTACAAAGAGACTGCTAAGGACAAGAGGGCAGAGGGGAGACCTGCAGTCAGAAAAGGCCTCATGAGACCTGTCCACCAATTACCATGTACGTAGCTGACTTGGGTCCAGATTCAAACAACTACACTGTCAACCATTTTTCTTTGCTTTTTTTGAGACAGGGTCTCTGTCACCCAGGCTGGAGTACAGTGGTATGATCATGGTTCATAGCA